GCTGGGAATAGACATTGCCCCTAAGCACGAAGGAATCTGCCAACTTTAGCCACAGAGTACGGCAGAGTGGTGATTTGACTGTAGGGGGTTGATTCTTATTTTTCTCCTTTTTTTTTTTTTTTCTCCTTTTTTTTGTGAATTTCCTTGTGTTTCTGACACTTACTCCCTCCGGAGCTGCCTCACCTCTGTAGCAGTGAGACTGCAAAGCAGTTGTTGCTTTGTGCTTTCCCGTGGGCACGGAAGGTGCAGGAGGAGGATGGGTGATGGGAGCTGGCGCAGCAGCTTCACCACAGTGTCATTCGGGGGCCTCGTGGAAGGGTTTTCCTTACGGGGCCTCTGCAAATATGTTGGAGATGGGCCCTGAGCCTTTGGCTGGGGTTGAGCTTTTCCACAGCAAACTGTAGTAATGCTAGTCATTGATCCAGAGACGTGCAGCCTGGGAGTTTTCGGGGGTACATAAACTCTCCTTTCTCGTAAACAGAGTGAGAGGTGTTTTGCTAATGACATTTTTAGTTCAACTCAAGCATCTGTATGTCAGTGAAAATGGGTTGAAATAGTATCCCATTTGTCCTCTCTTCCCAGGGTCCATGAGCTGCTCTGTTTGCTGCAGTGTGGCAGCAGGGTTTTCACGGTGAAGTGATGGAGAGTCTTGAGCAGGAGGATGGACTGGTCCTTCTGACCTGAGGAGTGTGTGATTTTGAGACTGTGGCTGGTAATCTTAGTTTTAGTCTGCACTGAATTCTTATTTGTAGGGATCTTTGCTAGGTGGATTATAGTGGAAATACAGCTGAGGCTGTAATTATACCTTTATTTGCTGTGTAAGTGTATCCAAGGCCAGAAGCTCATGGTTGGCTTTTTCTTTAAGGCTCCCTGATGCAGTGGTTAAGAGTTCCTATTTCCTTGTAGAGGAGTAGGAAAATGAATATTTTATTAATCCATTTCCCTAATACATCCTCAAATTCCACCTACTTAAGACGTGCGTTTGCCTCGTGCTCTGGTGCGGCACCCTCCTGTCCTGCACGCTTACCCTGCTCCGTGTTCACTGCTCTCTTCTCTTTTTGTCTTTTGTTTTATTCCCAATGTGTTTCTGTCCCTTTCTCTTCCCACTGTGACCTTTGTTTTCCCTTTTCCTTGCTGATACTGTGGCATGCTCCTGCCCCAGAACATCTTAGGCAGTGCAGCTGCTCTGAGTGAAACGCCAGCAGTGGCTTCGTGTGCGTGGATTGCCGCTGGCGAAGGGCTTGGGATGCCCCAGGCTCCTCTGCAGCTGCCAACAGACTCCAGCTGGGAATGTGAGAAAGGTAGTACCAGCTCAGCAGTGAGCAGCCTCCAAAATGTGCAGCTCCCTTTCTCTAAAGCATTAAGTTGGCAGGTTTTGCCAAGATCTTCAAAACAAACCGGTTTTGAAGGAGATTTTTGGCCAAACCCTTTCTGCTGCAGAGCAAAGAAACCATTTGGGACCATTTAAGTTAGTGCAGTGTTATTGGGTTTGGGCCGCTCTAAAGCTCTGCTGGTTTATGAGAACTGTGAAAGGGCTTTGGAGTTTGCATTGTACGTGTGATTTTTCAGTTCTAGTGCTCAGAGCAGTAAAAGAACTTCTGGAAAATGTACGTGTTTTCTGTATTCCCCACATTTGCTAACGGCTTTTCTGTCCTTGTTGTGCTACTTGTCCTCAAAATTATTTTCTCCACTGGACTGTGCAAAACTGCCCTGGAAATAAGTTTCTTTTGAGCTCTTTAAGAAAAGCGAGGAAGATCCAGTTTTTGACTGAGATTTGAAACCTTGCCAATCACAAGGCTATTAAATACCACTTTTCAACTTCCATATTCTTAGAAAAGTCTCTCCAAGTTGTGAAATAAATGTCCATTTGTAACTCTCTCTTAAATATGCTGCCTAATTTAACCTGCAGCTTGTAAGTCTGCCCTGACCATACACCCTGGGAAAGAGAGTATTTCAGTGCCCGTTGCTGTGTGGTTCATTTAGTGCCACAAACTGTACTGGTTTCAGTGGAAATTCAGGTTGGGCTGTGTGGCTCATGTTATTCTTCAGCCAAAACATCAGTGAGTACATATTCCTAACAGAACCTCTGTGTATTATTGTTAGGAATAAATGTCCCCTCTCTACCTGTTTTTATACTACTGGAAGGAAGGTTCAATCAAACTACATCCCAAGTGATGAGTTTTCCCACTTAACGATCATCTCCTTAGATAAATCTGCCATATAGAGATGCAGATGGTATTCTAAGCAAGAAGACACATGAGTGTAAAACAAATTCTGGAAATTTGGAGTATAGATTACCCTTACAGCTTTAGAAGGCTGTGTGTGTATCTATATCTAAGAGTCTTTAGTGAGAGCTCTAACAGTGTTAGGTAACATCGGTTTTAAATCCACCTCCTCCTGAGTTATAGTTCAGTGCCTTAACTTCATTTCATTCATGCCTCCCAAGCCATTTTTTTATCTTCCCAAAGATACAACTTTATCCCTCTTCCTCAGAGTTTCTCTGCTGGCATGAAATTGCCGTTTCTTGCAATTCATTTCTTCTTACCTGGCAGAAAAAGGGAGATGGTCACAGGTCAGCTTATTATGAGACAAAAGCAGGTCTTTAATGGGAGTAGGAAATTTCCTGAGTCCCTTCAGTTGTCCGTGCGTAAAGGTCACCTCGGTTATATTTGGGATGGGACGTTGTTTTATTTCATAACTTGGTGATGACTGAGCCTCAGTGCTCGGGATGTTTGCTCAGCAGGCCGAGCTCTGTGTTGTCACAACACCAGCAGGAATCGGCTGGAGCCTTGTGCTCGGAGTTCCTTGCAAATTAAAGGGCACGGATGTGAACAGTGAAATAACTCACTGCCGTGCTGGAGGGGCCCTCCCGAAGGACTGCCAGAATAACTGCGAAAAAGGGCCTTTTTAGGCCTTGGTTAACGAGCTCTTTCACAATGATCTGTGCTACTTTTTTTGGGCTACAGATGTCTGAATTGTTTCACTTCCATGGATCTGGTTTTGAGGTTCAATTATGCATAGAGTAATACTACTCAAGTATGAGAAGATCTGAAATGATGGACAGTGTCTGAACTGTTGCTGTCGGTGACCTAAGGGCTGGAAGAGATACAGATTGTAGTTGTCAAGTGATAAATTTCTCTTGCAACCAGTTAACCAAGTTGCAATGAGTTAAACTGAAAACTGTTGCTTGTGGTGATGATCAGGTGGTTAAAATATGTGTGATTGGTAAGGCTGTATCTTGGCACCTCCAGATCAGCACAGCGCTGTGGCAAATAATCACACTGCATTCATAAAGCCATAAAATAATGCTGAAACCTGAAAAACTCACAGCACTATTCTGGCTCTGCTCATTCATGTGCCGTTGGAGTTGGAGAGGAAAATGCAGTGAAGCTGATTTTGCTTTTGGGGCTCTCAGTATTGCAGCGCTTTTCAAACTCTGCAGGAAAACCTTTTTTATTTTTCCTTCTAAAGAGTAACACTTCACCAGTTTCTCCAAACTACACAAATTTATAAAGGCTTTCAAAACCTTTCCTAAAAGTTTATTTTTACAGGATCTGAACTTCTGGCCCGGTGTGGTGCTGGAGGATTTCGTGTGCTTTTCTCTCCAGAGAAAGTCACGAAGCATAATAAGTCAGTACTGCAGTAATTAATATTAATTTTCAGCTATTCCACAACAGCTGTTCCTTGTTAAGTGTGTGGTGAAAGCTGTGCTTGGGCACATCTCAAAAGTCCATTTGCTGCAGTCCCTGCCCAGAGCACTTTTCCACGTCCTCGTGTCCCCAGTGGGCAAGGAGTTACACCGAAGGGTTTGGAGCTGTTCACGGGTCTGATTTTGGCCTCATAACTTGGGAGGGCTGTGTTTTGGATACTTCATTCTGAGATGAAATTAAACCTTGTGCCTGGCTTTTTACTTTTGCCCTCAAAAAGGGTTTGCAGCAATTACCCGAATAATTTCGTGTTCCCGGTATTCCTGTTGTTGGGAGTTTTGGTTGGTTTCTTCAGTACGGTCTCTTTTCCCCTCTGACAAAATGCCAAATAAGCAGCAGCCTCTCTCTGAATCTCAAGAGCTGCTCCTTCTCCAAAATTTCCAGTCACTTCAAGCATTTGTTGTGGTGGCTTTCAAGCTCAAGCTGTTTAAAACTGCACCATTAAATAGAACAAAGAATCTACTGCACCAGAGCAGGTGGGTGAAGAAAGCTGGTGCCTGAGAGGATGGACACCAGGCAGGCAAAGGGGAAAGCTTTCCTGTGTTCATCAAAACTGCTGGGTTTGGTTCGTGGCTAGAAAAATCAGTTTAGGTTTTGTGTCGGTAATTCCCAGCAGGCAGTAGCTAAATGCTGTGTGATACGACCTCACAGGTTGTCATTTCTTTAAAATCTTCAATTTCTTCAAAATAATTGATTCAAATCGTGTTCCTGATTTGTATACCATTCTTTCTTGTGCCTTTGCTGTCCTCACATACTGCTGCAGTTCTGTTTGTTTGTTCTAACCATTTGTTGGCTGTATGAGGTAAACCAATACTTTCCTGTTGGGAAGTGCCAGAACATTTCGGGAGCGATATGGTCCTGACTGGTCTCGGTCGTGGCTTTGCCCGTACGGAGCTGTTGTGTGTTCAGTGTCCAGCACCGTTCCGTGAACATTTAAGAAAACTGCCGTGAGCGTTTTCCACTTTCTGTGAGCAGCTGACTGTGCCATAAGTGGCCTTTCAACGAATTAAATGGGGTTTTAAGTTGCCTTTATGTGAAATGAAGATGGAATAGCTCGCTCTCCTTGTTTCCAATTTGACGGTAGCTGCTTACTTTGTAATAAGCGTTTTCTCTCATAAAAACGGCACCACAAAGCTAGAGGTTCAAAGTTTTCCTATTTTCTTTGCAAGCTGAAGCTCAGGCTTTCCCTGGGTTTAGGTTTGAAGCAGAAGACAAGTCACTCTCAAGCGCTGAAATACCACGATGGCTGTGAAAACTTCATTTTGTCCTGTTTTTTTTTCTTTTTGTTCGCAGTCAAACTGCAGCTTCAAGCGGAAGAAAGAGGAGTGGTGTCGATCAAAGGTGTGAGTGCAAATCGTTTCCTGGCCATGAAGGAGGATGGCAGATTGCTGGCCTTGGTAAGCACTGCTTTGTTCATGTTTCTGTCTGTAATTTGTAGGTCCTGTCCTTGCTCTGTATGGAGCAACCTCCTCTCCTGCAGGATTTGCTCAGCCTTCTCTGTGTGCGAGAAATTAGCTCAGCACGGCTTTAGTCAATTAGTTAAAAATTACAAATTAAGAAGAGTTGGGTATGTCTGTCCTACCTACAAGCTGCAAAATTTAATGGGAATGGCTTGTCTGAGAGAGGGGAAAAAAAAAATCATAGTGATCACGTAGAGAAGGAAGTTATAAAAACAAATGAGGAATAAAATGTTTGCCTTCTTACCCCCAGGAGTAATTTTTTTCCTCTTTCACTTCCTTACACGTGTGATTTTAAAGAGCTTATTAAAATAGGAAATAAAGCCAATTTAAAAGAAAAAAATTACTTTCATGATACTAATCTGTATAAATTGTTTTCTCATTTTCCTCTTTGTAGAGAATCAAGTTTTTTGGGCATGTTTACTTCCTAACTAGAAAACTGGCAAGAAAAAAAAAAAAAAACATTTTTGAAAATGCGATGATAAAATTTTAAAAAGTTATATAAATGTAGGTAACTTGAAACTACTCTCTAGTGAGACTAGTTTTAGTTTAAACTCTTGTGCATTTATTGGTATCAGCTGAATTTTTAACTGTGTTTTAAAGCCAGTGTGTGTAGCAGACTCTGAAAGTTAATAAGGACTGCCGGTGCTGGGATATAAATTTTGCTTTAAGAGCTGCAGTTACATTCATTTTGCTTAAATCCCTCATCCATAACCTTCAGAGCGGGCAGACCTCCAGCACTGGTGAAGTACCACTGCAGGGCATTGATCCCATTGGAATTTCAGTTTGCAATAATCCCTGATACTTTGGAGTCTTGAACATTCAGCCCCTGTGCAAGTCGCCACCGGTGACTGGCGTTAGTAATTCCTTCCTAACCCTGGCTGAACAGCAGCTGATCAAAGACCCACGCCAGGGGCTGCAGAAATTCCTTCTGATTTTCCTCCTGCCTCAGTGAAATGAGTCTGAAAGGAGTTTGACAGGAGCAGGGCTCCCCGGGGTGCTCCGCAGCACCACGCCTCTGGATCCAGGGAACCCGTTTTGTTCATGCCTGTGAGAACAGTGACAGGACCTGTTTCAAGTTACTTGGGTGTTGTGTGACAGCTCAGTTGAAGAAAATACGAGGAGTTGTCCACTGTGCTATTCTTGAGTTAAGGGTAATGGGGAATTTCCTGTGGTGCTGCTGTGCTGGAATTCGGCTTCCCATTCAGCCTCTTTAACCTGAGCGACAGCGAATGGTCGAAACGGGGTGTTTAGTGCCATTTGTAAAATTATAAACACGGGGAGGGGGGTGTTTGTGTTTGGGATTTCTTCTGTTGCAGTGGTGGGTTTGGTTGTAGAGCATGCCTTAGCTGCAGCGATTTTAGCTGCTTAGTTCCTGTAAGGCAAAATGCTTGATAAGTGTTGGTTATTCACTTGGAATTACGCTCTCAAAATGTGTAAAGCCGAGTCACTTTGTGCTTCTCACTTGAGCTTATAAAACATTTGTGTTGTTTCTGGAAATGGGTGTTACTTGCACAGTATTTGCTGCACACTCTACTTCCTACAGCTCTTTTAACTTTGCTATTCATAGGTGGAAATCCTCTACTCTTTTAAGCTCTCCTTCTTCACCCAGCCCAACGAATGCTGCTGCAATTTCACTGCTGTTTTCTGCAGCACCGGCAAGTGTTTCTTTCCATGAGGATTTCTGTATTGTGACTTCCAATAACAGTCTGTGGCTGGTTGTGCCTCTACTGTTTCTGCCTCTAAATGAAACTGTTTCTAATTGCCAGTGTTCCTCCTTCAGTTTGAGCAGGGCTGTGTTTCAGCGAGAGCTCTGCAAAGAGCGCACACTGGAAACGTTTGCGGTGCACTGATCTCGTCAATGCACATGATGAAACACTGCTGAAACCTCTGGCTATTTCTTTTGAAACGTTACGGAACTTTAGTTTGTAAACACTTCATGAAGTTCTCTAATCCACCAGTCACTCAAGTACTATTCCGTCTTTTTTAATGTCTGCTTGCCTTACTTACTTTTCAGTGTCCGGGATCCATTTGTTTAGTGTCCTTGTTTCATAAAATATATCAACATCTTCAAAAATATTTTTGCAGATTACTACTCGGGCCTGCTTTTCATCTTGCCGGATGTTTTTGTAATTACTTTGTGCAGACACGTCTTTAGGGTTTGTTCTGAGCTGGGTTTCGCAGAATGGTTTATTGCACGGCCGGTGCATCACTGCTCGCCCTGGTGATCTGCGTGGGGGTGCAGTGGATCGTGTTCTTGCCTGGAAAGCTGCATGATGCTGATTTTAATTGAGCAGTTGCATGCTCTTCACTTACAGACTCAGCTGTGGGGGAGAACTAATCTTTACCAGTTGGGTCATGGGAGGAAATGGCTGGTTATTCATGCAGATAGTCAAAACCTCCCCTTGGAAAATGCTGTTTTAACTGAAAATATTTGTGCGGAAAAGTATCTATTCCATCAGATTTTTAATGGAAACACTGAAATGTTTCACTTCTGATACGGCTTATTTTGACTTTCCAGTTTCACCTAATTATCAAAATGAAATATTTTCACTTTATGGAAAGAAATATGATTATTTTGCTTAATGAAGTGATTTCCCAAACTTCCCGTGAAAGGAAGACTTGAACTTTTGACTAAGTTGTATTTCACGATAAATAATTTGTTATTAAAGGGCATGACCTGTTCATTCTGTCTGTAGTGCTTAAATGGTTTCATTTCAAGGACTTGACTTGAAGGGAAATTTTTGTCTTTTGATGTTATGGATTAAAGCTGTGCCACAGGAATACTGGTGAGAATAACCTGCATTTCTTAGCCCTTTTGTAGTTAGAAAAGGCTAAATTATGGTCATCACCTCTCCCAGACCGTACTGGATCCACTGTGGTAGTTACAGGTTAATAACGCTCGGGCTTTGGCTTTGAGAATGAATAAGTTTGAGGAATTTTAATCCCTAATCCAAGTCCAAAATGTCAGAGGTAGTTGTTGGCATTGTGTCATTCTAGGGCAGATGAGGTTTGGACTGAAAAGTCAATCAGTGGGTGATGTCTGTGCAAATACAGGAAGAACCACCTTGTTGCAGGAAGCTGCTGCCCCTCTTTCAGGCAATTAATATGCCCTGGCGTGAATCGACTGGAGGATTTCAGGATTGCTAAAGCTGAAAATTCCTGCACTCAGCATTTTATTTAGTCAGGATGGAGGGCTTGCTTGGCAGCCGACAAAATCCTGACTGGTGGCAGGGCAGGCACAGGGGGAACTCGCTCCCCACCACTGCCCCAGGTGTTTTCCCTTCCTTTATCCTTTTCCTGAAGGGCTGCAGAGTTCAGGTGTTTCATGCTGTGCTGTGGAAACTTTCCCTGCCGGATCAGCGCTCTGAATGCAGCCTGGACTTAAATGTCTTTGAAAAAGCCACTGATATCCAGGCTTTTTCCAGGGGCTGAGGTTCTCAGTGTGGTGGCTGGCATCCCGCTCCTGCTGGACAGCAGTCCGGCTTCCGAAATGTCTCCTTTGGCAGATGCTGGGCAATACATAGTTTTAGGAAGCCTGAATTACCATTTGTCATCTAAATGTTGGCTTTTATGTCAAAACGTTTACATTGGCAGCACACCGTAGGAACACACTGGTGTCACATATGCTTTGTGCAGAAATAAGGAATTTTCTTTTTTTTTTTTTTTCCACACTTTTTTGATGGTGTCTCTGCCTGAATTTCCAGCTTGAGCAGTTGTGCTGAGCTTGCCTATACTCTGCTTAAAGGTTTGGGCTTTAAATGCTTCTTTATACAGTTTCTGTGCCTTCTTCCCTTTCACGCTTGGATCTATGGCTTGAGATGATTAATGCATTTGTTGTCACACTGCTGCAACAGAAAGCATTGAAGTACAACTTGTCGTGAGAAAGATTATTTAAAATAAAAAATAACATGAAAATTGTGAGTGGGATTTCTGTTATTTGAAATGTACAAGTGTCAGTGAGTTACAGAAACGAGAAACTGCAGATGGATTTTCTCTTACAAGTTCTTTTGCTTAGAAGCAAAAATTCGTATCTGAAAATGACTGGAGGAAATACCCTTTTATTTGAAGACATGTTTGGAGACAGATCACTTTATTCCAGACTGCATTTGAAGGATTTAATTGCTTGTAGCTACAGAATCTTGGCCTAAATGAGGAGTTACCCTTCTCTTGTATGTTTTTCTGTGTACTGTATGAAGTCTAATTGTTCCAGTATTATTTATATAGTAATGAATGTTAACAGAAGATGGCAACAAAGGGTAGCCTGCTAATTTCAGGAATTGCCTCACATTCCCTGTCTGCTTGCTTTTTAATGACGAGCTTTTCTGCTCCTCTGGCATTCCCAAAAATTTTCAGGGGAAATGAGTCTGACTGAACTGATGGACTGAGGGGTGATGTTTATGAAAAGAAAACTCACCCTCCAAGTTGCTGGGGTGCTGAACTTCTGCCTTCTTTTATATTTGAGAAAAATAATTTCTCTTGCCTAAAGTGCCACTTCTGCAGATGGATTTACCACTGTGACAGCTGAGGGCTGTGTTAATTCCATGTAGGTGGAGCTGGCTTTGAAGACTTCCTTCCAGAAGTAAAATAATTCCTTAGATGTACTTCTGAATACTGGTCTCAGTGGGGAATATACCTCTCTAATTCCTAAAATTATTTTTCAAGTTTTGAATTAAAAAAAAAAAAAAAAAATCTTGAAAAGACTGTTTTGGAATGCTATAAACGCAGACTTGAATTAGCTTTAGGAAAAGTTAAACCTCAAAACTGGAAAAGAAGAGGCAAAGGCTGGAACTCTGCCATGCTATTTATCTAATGGATAAAATGTTGGGTTGAGGAAGGCAAGAGAAATGCTGCCTTTTCTCTTTCCTTTTGGTTATAACCTAGGATGAGATGGCAAAGCTGCTGAGCTTGGAAGTCACTGAGTGCCAAGGGACAGGGTCCTTCACTTAAATGTTTGCATTTCTGATCACAGCAAAGAATCACACAGTGTAAACAAACTAGAACCTGCTTGGTCTGTGTTAGAGACCACAAATGAACCACAGTTAAACCCTCTTCTTCTTGTAGGTGTTTTTAAGAATATTTTCATAATAGCTATCATTCTTCAGGCATGAAACGTTTCATACCCATTTCTTAAAGCCAGAGGTACTGCTCACTCACATTTTTGCTAAGTTAGTCCCATGAGTCTGAAGAATTGATTTTGGACCAATAATATTTTTTTTCCCCTCTTTTTTAGAAATATGCAACAGAAGAATGTTTCTTCTTTGAGCGTTTGGAATCTAATAACTATAATACTTACCGATCACGGAAATACTCCGATTGGTACGTGGCACTGAAAAGAACTGGACAGTACAAACCTGGACCAAAAACTGGACCTGGACAGAAAGCTATCCTTTTTCTTCCCATGTCTGCCAAAAGCTGATTCCCATGGCGGATTCCGAGCACATTTGCCACACTACACTAAAGACGTCGACTTTCCTACTCCTCCCCGAAGTAGCAAAATATAAGCAATTATTTGCTGATATTAACTACTTTTCCAGATACCAGTTTAAAACATGAATGTTTCATACTGTCTTTATATTGCTCTTTAAACCTATTGTGCCAGTGTGTGTGTGGGGGTAAAATTACTTGGAAAATATATTTTCAGGATCAGTAACACTTCTGTTTTCTTCTAGGTATCTATGCAGAGCTGTTTTATTTACCTTATGCTTGCTTTATGGAGTAAAGGAAAACAAATCTGATGCGCACTTACAGCATTATTTACCTTTAAAAATAATTTATCTCTTAGCTTATTAAAGAATAATTACTTTCTAATAATTACCTAAAAAGAAGTCCATGAATAAATTTAACGTGCAACACTGCAGTAATAATTCTAAATTATTAATCTAAAGAAATGTGAAATGTCTTGCTCTCATGTAATGTTTCTGTAGGACTCGGGCAGCTCCCTGTGGTACAGTTTGTAGAACAGGCCTGCGTAGACAGCTGGGAACTCCCTCATGGTTATGTCAATCTTATCAAACCCTTCCCTGTACCCGTACAGCAGGAGTTTGGCTACGTTGCTGGTGATGGGAGTAGAGTTTTTTGTCCTGACGAGCTCCTCGAGGTCCATCCACTCACACCTCAGGCACTCGTGCTGGCAGAAGCTGATGTTGAAGGAGGAGGGCTGCAGGCGACAGATGATGTACATGTCCGACTGCCCAAAGGCTCCGGGGTGGTGGTGCTGCTGCCTGATGCTTAGGATGGACTTGAACTCTGACTTGATGCCAGTCTCTTCAAAAACCTCCCGAACTGCTGTGTCTCCTGGGTGGAAAAGAGCAACCCTTAACATTCTTGAAACATCTGGGAAAGGTGGAAATCCCTCTAACTCAAAGCCTTCTCTGTTTTGCTCCGTCAGGTTTTGAGGATGTAAGTCTGTTTTTCCAGCACAAGGATAAGCTAATCCTTTGGTCCCTGAACAAAACTAATTGCTAAGTGCCTTTCTTGTGTATATCCTGCAGAATTACCCCTTTTGATAATACTGTGCAGGGGGTGGTTTGAAATGGACTCTCTGGTGGCTGCTGACTCTGCTGATCTCCTAATCCAAGGCAGCATTCCACCCTCCTTGCAGTCCTTTGCATCCCCATCCCTCTCCTCTGTCTCTGTCTCCTTGTCTCTGAGCTGTTTTGTTACCTCCTTCTTTTAGTTCACTTACAGTAAGAAACGAGTGTGCTGGCTTGCTTCCAAAAGCAAAATACATCTTAAGAGACCTGTAGAGATTTGCCATCCTGTGGAAGCTTTCATCTTGCCATGTCAGAGGGGAACAGAACGGGGGCAGTTTCAAATATTGGAAATAATGTGGGCACACAGTGGCTGACAATATATAACCAAAACGATTAATCCAGCATTGGCCAAATTACTGTACATTAATGGCCTTGCTTTGCACCTATTTCTTCCTCAGCTCAGCTTCTATCTTGCCGTGGAATGACCTGCGTGAAGTTTCCCAGATGGGGAAAGACACTCCTGTACCATTACTGACCCTTGCAGAGATTGCATTTTACGTTGCCCGGAGAGGCCTCTGTGGTCCCCTGGTTTAAAATAGTGGTTGCAAAGCCAAACCCCCTGTGGCAAGTGGTTTTGTTATTGGGCAGGGGGCTGTATTACACACAAGTGAAGAACTGAGATAATGAGGAAGGCTGAAGCAGGCTGCAGCAGGCTAAGCAGAAGGTTAAGAAAATTGTGATAATTAGGGATTTCATTTGAGCATTGAGCTCTGCTTTTAGATAAAGTGCCTTTTTCTGTTTCCCTTTTATTTAAAGGTGTGTATATATATAAATATCTACTGACACTTAAAACAGAAGAAACGCTAGGCTTTGAGTTTCAGGAATACTCAAATACAGAAATGTGTGCACTTTGCTTAATTCATTATGAGACTATTGGTATTACTTGCACGAGTCAGTTTGTACTCATTTAAGTAGATAGCCATGTATTTTGTCACTTCATATAATCACAGGATCTTCAAGCCTTGTAATTGCAATTTTTAATTCTAATTTAAAATGTAGTCCCTTGAATGAGTTTATAAGGTTTGATGCAAGGATTTAGAACAAAAGGAAAATTAAGCTCTATTATATTTTATGCTTCACTAATTTATATCTTCTTGTGATATAAGATGTGGATGCAGAGAATCGTAACTTTTATTATTATGCAGTTTAGAAGTGGCAGGAGGGGAGCTGTGAGAGACTTATTTTCTCCTGGGTGTTTTCCAATGCTTACATCCAGGCTCCAGCCGTAATTTCACCTGTTTTTTGAGGGATGGCCTCTGGCTTACTCAGTAGCACTATCCCTCTGGGGAATCCCACTGGAATGCCAGTGCTGGCACAAAAATCCTGCTGGTATCTCCTGGCCTAGAGCCTCTGGCACTAGAAGTGGGAAGAAGCCTGGCTAGACAACAACCACAGAGTTTGGGATTCTTCTGAAAATATGGATCCATTTCACTGTTACATGTATTTGCATTGTCCAGCAAATAGTTTTGATTTCCATCACTGGGTTTGACAAAAAGACTGAAAATGAGACTCGGGAGTTGTGAAACTAAACTCAGTCATATCCCAATAACTAGCAACTTTCTCCATGTGTTGAAATAATGAACTGGACTACAAGCCCTCCAAATGCTGTAGGGAGACTGTTAAAATCGTAGGCATTTGTAAGGTATGGAACAGTCAGGAAACCTGGGCTCAATGCCCAGATTTAAAAATAACCAGTCTGTGGATCATGATTTTAAGGGGTGAGATACAAGGGGGGAAAAAAGCGCCAAATTTTCTATCTCTTCATAAACAGCCTTGTTCATTCACCACCGACCAGAAAACTGCAGCAGCGCTTGTCATCACCTGTGCTGTGCTTGGGCAGAAATGAGAGGTTTCCTCAAATCGGCATTATTTCTTAATACAGAAGAGCCTTATGTCCCTGGGTGAGTAGGTGCCCATAGGACCGAGGTGCTGCCCTGTGCCAGGAGCTCGTAGTCCAAACAAATCAAATAAATGAGGGTGGGAGGAAGCAAATGTTGTATTTAATTCTGCTTTGCATGTACAAATGGAGAAGCTGGAAATTTTTGCTCAGTGCATCACTGAGGTCACTGCCCTGGATTCCAGTGTGAGCCGAGAGCTCCCTGTTTCAGTTTTATTTGGTTTATGTACTGATTACCTAAATCCTCTGCACCTCTGGCTCATATTACAGCATATCCAAGAAGCCCACAGAAAGTCAGCTGGCTTCGAGCACCCACTTAAGAGAAATTGTGGGAAAGAGTAAATGTTATAAATGCAAAACTTCTTTGCCCCAAACGTAATGTTGCCATTAAGGTAACATGAAGGATCCTGTGACCTTAATTATCATAAAGGTCACAGGATCACGTCACTTCATCTGCTCACCATTAATTCAAAGAAACGAATTCAGAGGAATGATGTGGGTCACGCTGTATTTCTGTAATGTTAATGTCTTTGTAACTCTGTTGACGTCTGACCTGTATTCCTGGGACTTACCAATGTCTTCTGCTGGATTAGACAGACCTCCTGGAAATTTCCATGCATTTATAGTCTGTATTGGAGGAGAAAACATTGATGAAGGATACAGCCTGTGTTGTACTCTCAAATATGAAGGAGATAATAAACATGTGACTTGTTTTCTTGAAGTTGCGGTATTGTTATGACTCCTACAAGCAGCAGGAAGTAAAAACTTATTCATTCCTGCTAAGGTGGTGATCAGAGACAGCTACAGTCTATATGAACTATTGGAACAAAACACCTACTGACTGAAAACACAAACTGTCTAACAGTCATTAGACAACATTGCTGCTAGATAGAGTAGTTGAATATTAAAAAAAAAGCTGCTATAGACAATATAATCTTATATTTAATCACTAATGTATTGCCCTTCCATGGTTTTGGCTTTTAAAAAATGTATATATATTTAATCTTACCAACAGGTATTATGATTGTAGTACTGTTCTATATTGCACTGGCTTTAAGATGACTCTGTGTGTCTGTAATAATCATTTAGTGTAACTAAAACTTCCATTTTCATGGAATACAAAAACTGAGGGCTTGTGTGTGATTTATGTAGAGAAACAGTTATTGAATTGCAATAAAGTTCAGTATTAGAACGTGGAGACTTGGTGTTGTTACTCATACTGCTAAAGGAGTCCCAGTCCCTGGGATTTGTAGGCTTTAGTTCTCTGTATGTTTTATTTCTTTCCTTATTAAAAGTTTATGTAGGAAGAAGTTACCCTTCACCTAGAAATTAACACAGTAAAAAAGTAAACTGGCCAAAAAAAGGGCTTTTTTGTCCATGCAGCAGAGAGGGGGAAACTCTCTGCTTTCCAGTGATTTGAAACTCCAACAACTACACTGGAAAATGTTGGCTTTTTTTTTTTTTTTTTTTTTCTGGGCATTCTTAAAGGGCTTGGATAGGAATTTATAGTAATAGATTAAAAATAGTGCAGATGGAAAATACGTATATTTGTCTCCTGGCTTCCAGATTTGCTTTTGGTTCCTGGAAATCTTTGGGTGCTGTGGAATTGTCCTTTCACGATTAAACCTAAACAGCTCTTAAAATTCTGCCAGCTGCTAATTATTTTTTTAAGCTTTCAGAACATCCTTTATTTTAAAAGGCACCATTTCAGGGAAACTGTTCATTTGATGGAAAAAGAGAAAGGAGAGGAGTGGTGGAACCAACAGTGGGAAACAACTGTCTGAGCCATCTGCTTGCCCTGAGATATTTGCTCAGTGCCCGAGAAATGTATGGATATTCATTCACACAGTCCAGCATTTAATTTCACCCAGTCAATAAAGAGCTGGAAAGAGGAGAGTCAGAATCAATCACTTTCTTCCTTTCAGCTCGCTGCACTGTCAGCTTTGTTCTGGAAAGGTGAGCTGAAACAGCTGACCTGGGATATCCAACTTTTCAGAATGAGCTGAGGGAAGAGGGAAGAGCAGTGCCAGTCTGGTCCTCTTGTGTTTTGGAGCCAGAGGTGAAAGAGGTAATGCCTGGTGAGTATGGAATCGAACCCAGTACCCAAATTAGAGCATCCGATGTCACTGCAGAAAGGATAGAGGTACCTGCACTTAAAATGCCTGTGGGGGAGCTTTAACAAAACCACACGTGTAGAAGTTAAGCCTCACACCTCCTTGGCTTGGGAAACTACTAGTTCCTACTAAAAATGCAGATATTCTTTGAGACCTGTTTAAGATCTTTACTAAAAGGTAAGCACGCAGTTTTATATTTCTGTGTGTAGAAAGGATAAATAAATGCCATGTTTCTAAAGTTCACAGTGTGCTGTTCTGCTCCTGGGGACTCTCTAGAAGTGGAACCACTTTTGGAGCCTACAGCATGTTGAGGTAAGTTCATGCTTAAATTGGTAGTTTTTTGATGTAAGCCTGGAGGTCCTGCTATAGAGAAGTTCTTGGTGTTTTTATTTATTATAAGTAAAAATAAAAAAATTAAAATCTTTAATTGCAGGAAATGAGTTCAGAGGAAGAGAAACACCCTTGTCTTTTGTGTTAGAAATTCAACGTGTTGTTTAATTGAACCTGCCTATGAAACCACCCTTTCACTGAAGTTCATTAACCATGTTGTAGTTACTAATGAACTGATGTTTTGGGTCCTGGGAAGAAATGTCTTAGTAGCTATTTCAGGAAAGGCAGAAAAATGCAGCCAGTGAGATTGTTAACTATATAAAATGAAAATGATGCATCTCGGTTTGATTGTTTCGTGTTAAAACTGCAGCCAGTCTCACTGTACTAGAGACGCTTTGCAAATGAAAGTGGAAGCCAAATGCCTTTTCTGTGGAATAGCCACAGAAAAGGCAACTCCCAGTGAGCTTTCTGCAGCTGCTGGATTAAAACCTAGGTTAGCCTGAGGGGGGCTGGAAGACGTTCCCAGTGATGGATGTTTGGTGACCTCAAGCCACATCACACGACCCACCATGCCCACACTAATGCTCTGGTTTGGCCTTCTCCCGTTTGGGAGGAATTAGGGATCTCTACACCTGCTGTACTGAGGTGCTCTGCAGGTCAGGGCCAACCATGGCGTGGCTTATTTAAAGCCACAGACATGCCTGGAATTTTTGAAACCAAACAAAATCAGAAACCTCCTCCCAAAATCTGTTTTGAGCTGTGGGGGTTTTCCAGAGGCCTCCATGGATCCAAACACATGATTAGGGATTCCTGGGTCAGTTGCAGGAGAAAAACTCAGAGCAGGAAGGATATTTAGTAGTGCTGAGTCAATCAATCACCTGTTCTAATTAACAATAAAGCCCTCGATTTTCAAAGTGTTTTTTTATTCCCTTAAAATGGAATACAGCAATCTGTTGATAGGTGTGTTCCAAGACACACTTTAAACTATCACAATGCGGGACTGGTATAAAAATAAACATTTTTTTTTTTTTTTATACTACAGAGCAGGATTATCTAAATGAACTTCTCTATTTTATAATCCTGTAACAAACTTACCTTATTTCTGTCTTGCACAACCAGCACCTTTCCAGTGCTTTCATCTAGAACAGCACCTAGCAGAGAAAGAAGATTGAAAAAAATGTAGCACTGGACAACTATGTCCAATCTTAACAACTAAAATCTAACATGTTTTGATAAAGCATAGCAAACCCCTAATGATACCATTTACAGTTGGCAAGGTTTGTTTAGATGAATCACAAAGTGGTTTGTTGGTGGAAAACTGATACACAATTAAATATCACAAAAAGGTTAAGTATCCTGCATAAAAATTCAGAGTTAGCACAGTACCAAGATAAATAATTGCAACATTTAAGTTCCAGATTAGACAAGAAATGAAAAGAAAAACTTGCTTGTGTTAATATCAGAACTAAAGAATGCAAGATCAAGAGGTCACCCAAACAATCTAGCAAAGCTGCAGCAGAGACGTGCCTGTAATCTTGCTTAAGTAACAGAAAATTTTCCAGTGACTCTGGCCGAGAAGCCACCCTTAAGGGGTAAGAATTTTTCCCCTGGTGAAATTCATGACAGAACTCCCACCTGCTGCAGTGGAGATTTGAGTGTTTTCTGGTTAATGACACACAAGGTTTACTACTCAGGGGGCTCACTGTGCTGATAATGTTCCACTGGGTGACTATCTATGAACTCATGACAGGAGCTCACAGTGATCCGAGTTGAATTGTTAACCAAAAAGTGTTGCTTCCAAGTGGGAAAGTGACACGTAAAAAAAAAAATCCCTCAGGATGTCTGACTGAAAGTGCAGTCTTTCCTTATGCCCTCATGCTCAGCCCATGACTTTGTCCTGCAGATTACAAGTCTTCCTGCTTTCTAAAACCCAAGTGCTTTCATGTTTAATCAGCAAGTCACACTCACTGGTCATACTTTAGAAACGTCCTTCCTTTAAAACAGGCATTTTTCTCAGATTTTAAAGAGTCCTGTGGTGAGCAGAATGAGTACTGTGGTGCAGCTTACCAGGCTCTTTTCCACATCAGTCATGCATGGGTTTCAAATTAGTAGTTAACTATAAAAAAATGCTTCTGTCATTTTACAGCAGGAGGAAGAGTATACAGGCAGACTGGTGATATATGCATTTAAAATGCTTTGGCAAAGTATTTCCACAGAAGGGAATTATTAAAGAATGAGTGTCCAGCTCACAATACCCTCTGTTTTTTTAATAATACATGGCAGACTTCTGTGTAGGAGGAATATTGAAAGGATGAAATGCCTTCCTTCAAGAGATGTCAAAGGACATGTTTTAAGAGGGTAGTCACAGATCTGCCTCCCCCTGACTTGTGACTGATTTCATTCCTCCTATAAATATTTAGCAGTGCTGATTGAAAGAGGGAACAAAAGGAAAGCAGGACTAACTCTGATGTGTGCTGTGATTACTGGGATTGTTTTCTAGTAAAGCCATCGTTCAGCCAAATGGTTTGCTGAGACCAGGGAGAACTGCTGCAGGCAGTAAAATGCAGCTTGAATCAAACAGAAAGTATGTGTTCCCTTCTCTGCTCCTGTTCCCCTGAAATATCATTTTTGGCAGTGAAACTGTCACTAAGATGATCAGAATCTCTGCTAGAGGATACCTAAAACCAACGTAAAAGGAAAGGAAGAACACCAACAGGATTTGCTGTCCGGTCTCATGTTTCAAGTGTAGCTCAGAAGGTCCTGAGCTGCACCTGGTTGGTATCAGTGAGATCAGAGATTGACTGCAGGCCCTGAACTGCAGTTTTATAAAGAGTTTTAAAAACTCTCTCCCTTGTGACAAATGTGGTACCTGGAGCTTTAAATCATCCAACACCAGGACTTTCTGGAAAGGTTTATGCTTATAACCCAGCCAAGTAATCAGTATTACAACACTGCTTTGTTTTTAATGTTCTCTTTTGGGAAACAGGTAAGCATTAAAAAAAAAAAAAAATCCCTTAGACAACTCCAGGTGATGAGTAATGGACGGGAAAAATATCATCATCCTACCTGTTTTATTTATGACTGATTAAAACACGTATGCAAAGATGTTCAGTGCTGAAAAGCACTTGTCTACCACACGAGTGCACGCACAACTGCTTGCAATGTAAACAGCAGCAAAGAGTAAGTATTTGTAAAACAACTTGGGAACTACTTTTAAATCACTTTCGATTCCTTGGGCCATCATAACCTACCTAACTCCACATTAATGCAGCTGCTCATTTTACCCATTTCCTTAAGTAACAGGACTGGCTAAGGCTGATAATCCTCAGTGTGTGCAGACTCCAAGGACTTTGATTCAGTAAGTAGATTAAGGTAGGTAGCAATGAAAATAACAGCTGTGCTGTAAGGCTTAGGCTACGTGTGAGGGAGAAGAGAATGACTTTTACTTTTCTTCCTCTCCTTGCACTTTCCTTCCTCAGCTTGCCTGCCTGTGCCATTGTTGCGTGGCATGTTTACAAACACGTCCCTTTCTGGGTGGCAGACCACTTCCTCCCAGGAGGTGGGGAATGTTGGAAATGCTTCTCCAAAACACGTTAATCACTTCATACACCAGAGACTTCCCTGTGTCTTCACACATGTGGAAAATCCTGCCGCCTACAAACGGATGCAGCGAGTGAGCTGGGAGAACACATCACATGTTCCACTATTTCTAAACAATAATGGCCAAGCCCAATGAGTAACATTTGCTACTCTCTGCTCGGCGACTCTCATCCAGTCTGGTCACGTATGACCTGACCTCTCTTATTCACACCTTTGTCATCACTTGGCTGGACCATCCCGAGGCACAAGCCCTGGCTGCGCGGCGTTCCCTGCGTGGGAAACTCCAGACAGCAGGAAAACCAGCTGCTGGTCTACTTGGCAATGAGACCTGCTGCCTGCTCCCTGTGCTGGTTTCCCTCTGGCCAGCCAACCACTCTCCATGTCTCTGCTTTTCGTTTCCAGGATGCTCAAGAGACTGAGTCCTGTATTTCACTGACTGGCCATAGCATTGAGATGGAGACTCTCATCAGAAGATTGCTTTCTTTTACTGCAGACACTTTCTAAAATATTTTTTTTGTTGTTGTTGTTGTTTTTCAGGAAATAAAAATGCCTGGGATTTGACACCAACAAAATATAAAAGAGTATATTTACATAATTTAATATTTGAATAAAATTAGTTCAAAATAGAATGAAGCCCTTCCACTACCCAAACTCTCCCTCCTAAAGTAGAAAGCTAATGGAATAAAAATATTCCAGGTGGTATCTACACTGCTTAGTGTATTCTTGGGATGTGTTCCAGCTCCACTGACAGCGAGTGGAACAGAGGAAAAAAAACCACATAGCAATCATTATTTCACAGAGAAGTCTGCTTGTCTACCTGCCCCAAAATGCCTTCCTTAAGCCCTTACCTCTTTTAACAAACTCCCAATAATGAATAAAAATGTACAGGTTTGAAAAGTGATAGCAAAGAATACAGACATTTTATGTTGTGCAGTTTTTAAATCTGTGCAATAAGTTATGAAATCCATCTACCTGCCTTTGTGTAACTCTTCCTTTCCTCAAACCTTTTTCCTACTTGCAGAGTGCCAAGTGTTTCAAAGTGGAACTGCAAACTATGCTCTGAAAGTGCATTTTTTTTGTATTTTCAAATGTTTATTTGAGAGTCTTTCAAGAGTTATGATTTCTCTTACGTGAATTCCTTCCTGATACCCACCGGGGTCACAACAGGTCTTTTACATGATTTTTTTTCAAACAACATTTTTAGCTGTGCAGCTCTTCCCTCAGAAAAGAACCCCTCTCAATTAGTCCCGTTTCCTCAAGCACTCGAGTTACAACCACAAGGAGTAACGTGGTGCTTCTGCGGAGGGAATGCGCTATCCCGCTCCAGTTTAATGCCACATATTTTAACGGTGAGGTTTCCATACCTCAGGAAAAAACATGCTCCAACATGTCCATTGACAAAATCCAAGGCGGCCTTCGGCTTCCACCCCGCCCTCTGCTGGCCGCGGAACGGCAGACACCCACTGGCGATGGCAGTAGCACTGTTTGGTAATTCAAGGCGTTTTCCCCTAAACTTATTTTCACCTTGACCTGCTGCAACGCCGAACAATCCATCTTTTGTGAGTTCTTCCTAACTAGGCTTGTCAAATGGCTATTTATGGGTCTTAACACCACTTGGTGAATGAATAGAAATAATGTCCCACACAGTCCCTGCCAGGCAAGGACAAACAAGTCAAGGCTGGAATTGGAGAGATTTGCTCTCTCTGTCCCGTAATTTCTGGGTGTTAAAGTAACTTTTGCATGAGGGGTCCAAACAAACCTCCAAATAACAGATTACTGGGTGATGGGACAGGCAATGGCTTATCTGTGGAACTCTGCAGAAAGACGGTGCAAAGCCATTCAAATTTGGTGAAGCCAAGTTTTTTTGGCTCATCATCAGTCCCTTGTACTGTGCTATATGAAGAAAAAACAAACAAAAAAAAGGGAACCATCTTATCTAGTTCCCCGCAAATGTTCTCAGTTACGGAACAACTCCTTTCCAACTGGGACTGTGGGAGTTCTATTGGTTAAGAGTATTGTGTCCAGATGTTTGTTAGTAAAATATATTTGTTTGGAATACAGACTTCTAGGCACAGCTTAGAACAGCTTTCAGACCACTGTAATTTCAGCTAATAGTTGTTTTAGCTTCTGAACAATCCCTGTTAGGTCAAGTTGTCCCCATTTACAGACCTTAATGTGAGCATAGGTTATGCAGATTCATATATTAAGCATCTACAGTAAGGACAGAAAGCAGAGAAGTGTTTTTTTATTTCTCTATGATTGTGGTTACTTTTCCATTTTAAAATGCTGCTTGAAATCTTTACTCTCTCTCTCTTACCTGCAAGGTGAAAAGCCGACGTTTCTCAAAATGGTGTTTAAAAGCAATATTCATGAGCTAACATTCTACAGCTTCAGGACCCCATTTTCTATTCCCTGAGCTGTTCACAATTTTCTCCAACTGGAATCATTTGGAGAAACCTCTCTCTGGCTGTTTTTATGCTGTTGCACAGGCTTATTCATGAATGACACACTTCCCCTTGTAAAGTCACCCCAACAGCAGGCAGCTGGTTTCCATGTGCTGGTTGTCCAGAACAGCCCATTTTCCTACAGGTCCTGAGGGCTTGTTTAAGTCTTTTTGGGGGCACCACACCTGGAACTCACCTGCAACCCCCAGCTGGTGGGTGGCAAACCCTGGCAGCCTGCTGGGCCCCTGTCCCAGCCACAGCGTCAGGGTGGATGAGCCCTGCTCGGCGTGGTGGAAAGCAAAGCCTTGGGAAGCAGCTGTTGCCACAAGCCCGCTCTGGAGGATGGGGACACGGAGCCAGACGGCAATGCGACCTTCCTGCCGCCACTGAGCCACAGAATCTGCAAGAGAGGGAAGTGAGGAGGGTCAAGGCCGTGGCCACCACTCAGAGACATCCCACCCCTTGCCCTTGATCTGTGTGGTTTTAAACCTTACTGCGCACAAGAATCGGGGTTATCGAGCAAAAAAAAAAATCTGTATTTTCACCTCATTTACAGGGCCAAACTATTGTCAGTGTGAGGAAGCCAGCAACGACATGGGCTGCCAGCTTGACATTTCACGTGGTACAACTCTGTGTTCATGCACGAAATAATGGCTTTTCTGTCAGGGTCTGCTGTCAAAGGCACAGGGGAATCTACTCATCTGGAGTACTGTGTCCAGTCCCTGGCTCCTCAGTACAAGAAAGAGAAGGGGAGTGTACTGGAGGGTACTCTCGCTACTGGTGAGGGTCCCGTGAGGGGCAACAAAGGTGACTATGGGTCTGGAGCATCTCTCTTAGGAGGAAGATGGATGTGGGAGCTCGGCTTGTTTAGACTGGAGAAAGGAAGACGGAGAGGGGATCTTATTAATACATATAAATATTGCAAAGGCAGGTGCCAAGAGCACGGTGCCAGACTCTTTTCAGTTTCACCACAGCACGATGTCAGACTCCTTTCAGTTTCTTGCCCGGCGACAGGACAAGGAGCAGCATCCATAAACTAAAACACCACAAGTTCCACAACAACAACACGAGGAAGATCTTGAAGCTTCCAGAGCACTGGAACGGGCTGCCCAGGGAGGTCATGGAGTCTCCCTCTCTGGAGACACTCCAAACCCACATGGACGCGTTCCTGTGTCACCTGCCTCGGGTGACCCTGCCTTGGCAGGGGGGCGTTTGTACCAGATGATCCCCAGAGGTCCCTTCCAACCCTGACAATTCCGTGGCTCCGTCCTGCCAGCTCCCTCCGCCGCACGGAGTGCCCGTGAGGGGAAGGCGGCGGCTGAGGGGAGCTCCCCATCCCGGGGACCCCCGCCGGCCCCTCACACCGCGCCCACCGCCCGCCCCGCCGCCCCGGGAGCCCCGCCCGGCACTTGCCCCTCAGCCACCGCCCGAAGGCGGCCCGCTCCACCCGCGGGGGCTGGCGCAGCTCGCCCAGGTCCACGCTCACCCCCCCGAACTTGTCCGGCCGCGCCCTCAGCCCGGCCAGGGCCGCCCAGCCCCGCGCCCTCCGCATCGCCCGCCACAGCCGCGCCATGGCACTGAGAGGGGCGGGGAGGGCACGGAGCCTCCGCCTCCGTGGGCGGTGCCGGCCTCTGCTCCGGAACCACTCGGCGGCGGGGCAGCATGTCTGCCTCGTCTTCCAAAAGGAAGAGCAAGGGGCGCCCGGCCGCGGGTGGCGGCTCCCCGCGGGATGCTCCCCTCGGGGCTGCTGAGGGCGGGCCGCTGGCGCTGCGTGTCGCCGACGCCGTGGAGGCAGGTACGGGCGTGCGGGCGGCGGGGACGGGCTGCTCGGGGACGGGCTTACCCAGCCTGGGCTTCACTAGCCCCGGCTTACCCAGCCCAGCGCGCTGAGGGCGCCTCGTTTGAAACCGAGTCCCTGCCGAGACGCGCTCGAGAAGGCGCGATCGGGGTTGGTTCTCTCAGGTCAAGTCGCCTGAGCTCCCCGTGAAATCTACTCTCTTGTTCCCGTGGAGCGGGAGCTAGATGGCGGTGGAAGGTGCAGTGCCGAGGAGCGGGCGTGTGACCGCGGGTGTTTTCGCAGCCCCGTCGGCGTCCCAGCCCCGCGGTTCCCCCTCACGGGGGTCCCCGCGTTCCCCTCAGGGCGGGCGCCGTGAGGGCTGGGGAGGGGTTTGTTGTTGTACGGATTGGGGGGAGAAAAAACGATTGTTTTTTTTTCCCCCCACCTAAAAAACATCAGGAGATGACAAAGTCCCGAAAATGCTGCGCAGAACGCTGGCGCAGCTGTCGCTGAGCAGCATGAAGTCTGCGGAGCTCTGCATAGGCCGGCCGGTCCTGCTCACCTCAGCTGATGGGCGGCAGGAGGTGAGACCCTTCCCTGTCCCTATAAGTGCTTTTCCCGTGCTTTCGGTGTGTTCTTGTTGTAGTCAGTGGGGCCAACACGGAACATGCGTTGAGAAAGATGGTGAACGTGCTCTTCCATGTTTTCTTTGTGGTGTTTACATGTTCATTCTCAGTGCTGGAAAAAGGTCATGGTACTGTTTTTTTTTCCAAAGTCTAACCCCTTCTTTCTTGGGTTGCCTTGTATCGTGTCTTAAGAGCTCAATGCTACTTGTATTTTGGTGTGTGGCACCAGGTTTTAACCTAATCTTTCTTCCCCTCAGCCCATATTTTCATAGTAAAATGTTGCTTGGCTTGAATGGAAATAGGGGATGGGGGGAAACGCAACTGACAGTTGCTTGCTTTGGAAACTCTTTCTAGGTGTGTACTGCTTGGCCCACTGCAGGCTTTCCCGGTGGGAAAATTGGGCTGAATGAAACCACCCAGAAGAACCTGAAAGTAAATCCAGGTGATGGTGTCACCGTGCAACCTGTGACTGGTGCAGTCATCCAGGCAGAGGAAGTGGATTTAAAGCTGAGGTATGGAACTTGTTATAACCTCGTTGGAGAGAGTGAAGTGATTTTTTTTTTTTATTTTTAACCACTTCCCTTCAAAACTTCACCTTTATATATGGTGGTTTTGTGCTCTGCTTTTATTTACTGTTTGGGTTTTTTTAGGATTGGAAACTCCGAGGTATGTTTTTGTTTAGGATTGAAATTGATCCAAAGAAGGGAATGAAGGGTACAAATCACAGTTGTAAAATCATGAATGCTCTGAGAAATCGGCAGGTTATTGATTTGCTGAATGATTTCTTATAGTTGTTGTTCTAACACTTCACAGAGTCAACATTTGGGTTGATGTAGAATCTGATTATACTTATTTCCTAAAGTTGTTTTACAGTTACTTTTGAAAGTGTCAGAGCACTTATATCTTTATAAATTATCATCACTTTCCTGTCAGATCTTTCTTCAAACACAACTATTTAGTTATAGAGGTGGTTGAAAACACACATTTCATTAGAAAACCAACCCCATGTTAAATTAACAATTAAAACTAATAGTTTTCTATTTCTCTGTGTTAATATGCTCTGCATTCTTTCTTTAAAGCTGTGACTTTTACTGAAATACAAGCTAAAGATGAGGTCAGAGGAATTGCACCTAACTTCTGAAATATTTACATTACTGTAATTTTCTTGGGAAACTGTTCCATAGACAGAGTTTTCCCACTCCGATAGTGGATAATAGCCAATAAAGAGTCAGGCTCTGAAGATTTTTATACAGGTGTACTGCCATATTTTTAAGTCATATCAAAGGCTCTTTTTCTGAAATTAGGAGAGAAAACATGAAAACTGTAATTGGTCTGTTTTAAGGCTGGTAATTTACTACACACTATGGTGTAAGACTATAAATTATTTAAGGAATGAACTGAAGTTCTGTTATTCGAGTACTCCCTGGGTTTCTAGATGTTTAACAGGTGAAGTTTATTGCCTGCAAATCAACGCCTCTGGGTCCTGCTTGCTTGCATAATTTAACTTTTTCTTCCAGCTAAAAAAATCCATCTCCAATTTCAGACCCAAGCAACAAAATTGAGTATGTGCTTACTCATCAGGATATTTTAAGGGCTCTCCTTTAAATTAGCTTAATACATCTCTTTCCCCAAAATTCCTCTGTGAAGCAGTAGAATTGAGCAACAAGATTTTATCTGCAGGTTTAGGGCTCCCCCCGTTGATCACGCGTTGCTTTGCAGCATCTGTGTCTGCTTTAAAGGCCTTTGGTGCCGCTGCCGTTCCCCTCTCGGTGCGGTGCCTTTGAAGGTGCAGGTGAGAATGCTTAGAAAAGTTGTGGACTTTTCAAAATGGATGTAGTGAGTCCTATCTGTTTAGTCACTTAATTAAGTAAAAGACTAGAAAACGCTTTGTGGGGAAAACTTGTACGGTTTTAGTAGTGGATGTGCAGTGCTTAAGGCATGTGCGCAGTTTTGCAAGTGCTCAAGGCGCTGTTTGAATCGATTAAAAAGATTTGCACGTGTCTTTGCAGGGCTGAAAGAGACCTGCCTTATCTGGGTTTTTTTTCAGACCAGTAAATGTAGTAATGGCTGTTCTGCCCCAGTGAGATGAGAAGCCTGCATTGCAGATTTGTGATCCTGAGAAACTATAAATCTAATTTAGGATTTGGCATTTTGTTTGGGGAAAAAAAAAAAACAACACCACAACACAAACCAAAAATCGAGCCCCAAATAAAATAGCTACACTTGTTTTGTTGCTGTGTGTGTCGTATTTTCAGAGTTAACATGTTATTATTTGAAGACTGAAGTGCTCATCCATCTTTTCTGTTTGTGGGGTTTAAGTCATATACTGTAAAACAGGTGATATTCATCATCCTGGTACTTTAGTGCTGTGGCCTCTGGTTTGGTTTGGAAGTAGTTATTGCTTGGAAAAGTCATTTTCTTCTTTCCTACCACAGGGACAAAGATGCCACCGTTAATGCCGAGGAAATGTCTGTGTGTCTGCTGAGAAACCTTGGTATGAGTTTTATTCCTTTTCTTTTGCCTATTCAATTTTTGTAGTAGGTCATCAAGTCTTGGTTAGAAGAGCAAATATTTTCCTCTTATGTTCCTAATCAAGGGCTTGTGGCAAAATAGGAGATGTTATTTTGTTCGCACTTCTTTTGGGCTAAATAATTTTGTCGTCGGGCCAGATAATTTTGCCATGCTGTAAATGTGTAATTTGCATTAGTTGTGGCTCTATCCCTTCTGTCCATTGTACTTTTGTCTGGTTCAAGTTAGGAGTTTTCAGCAGTCATTGATGGCCTTCTGGCTGATATTGTGATGCACTTCAGAGTTTACTTGCACTGTGAAGAAAAGACTGCAATACTATACATTAAACTCAAGATAAAGGATCAGTATTAACCTGAAATCCCAGTCCCTTGAATCTCTTTTTTATGTTGGTGGTAAATAAGTAAAATTGCTCTTCATTGGGTGGCAGATAAACATACTGACTTAAAAAATACCAAGGAAAGTTATTCAAAGTAGTGTTCCTCACTACAAATTGTTCTACTCAAAGGCAATGTTCTAGTTTAGGAATTAATAACACTGTTGCTACACCAAGAAGCAGGAAACATGAACTGCATTCCAAATTCATGAGTTTGTCTGGAAATCTTGTTTATGCTTTTCCTTTTTCTTTTATTTGTGTGTGCCTGTAGGGTGTATTCAAATCACATTTCCTCATCTCTCTGTCAATGCACAGGCTAAAACCTTGTTTTTTTAGTTCAATACTCTAAAAGTGGGTTAAACATGAAATATTATGAGATGCACAGCAAATACAAAATTTGTACTTCTTATAGTACTGATTCCAGTTATCTCCCCTTGTATGACATTTAAAAGACTCAAATTAATGATAAGTTTAGTATGAGTGATTACATATGATACTGACAAATGTTTATCCAGTAAAGTCTGCTTGTGTACAAAAGGATCTTTCAAAGTACCTGAAATTACCTTGAAATTATGTTACTACCTTTTGTTATGTTAATTAACAGCGCTGTCTAGGCTTCCTGGTAAGGAATTATTCTGTTGCAAAAATGTCTGAATGTTACTGCTGCCCAAGTAGATTGAAATGTCACCTTCTCTGTCTTTTTTTTCTTCTTTAATCTTATCATAGATGGGAAAATAGTTCTACCAGGAAACCTCTTGGCTTTCACTTTCTATGGCAAACTGTGCAACATCGTGGTGATGAGAGTGAAAGGAACTGATGGTGCAGAGCTGAGCGCCCAGGGCAGCGCCATTCCCAGTGACCCAGACCCTGAGACATCCGAGTTGGAGACAAGTGCCTTAGATTTGTCCCTGCAGCTCGGCAGGATGGACATTGGTGATAGCCCAGAGGTTGCATCTTTGAGCACACCAAGCAAACTGATGGATCCAGGCTCACCAGCTACACCCAGTTCTGTGACAGCCACTGGTCAAGACTCTGCTCAGGGAGAGAAAACCTACAGCAAGGGAGATGGTGCAGACCTCGCCGAGGATTCGGAGTTGGCTGGGAAAAGCAGCAGTGAGGGACTCCCCATAACGGGCAAAACTGGAGCAATGAGCAATACAGACTCTTTTTATTTCATTTCTTCAAGAACTAGGATCAATTTTATTGAACCCAGGACCAGCATAGCAGAAGATGATGAATGTGAGTCC